TTTCTGGCGCCAGCATCGTAGAGAAGTTGCACTTCTTCAAAATACTGCGTCACAGTCTCGTTGGCGGTGATCGACCAGTTGGCTGGGGCATATCCATTGATGATGTCGTTGATACCGAACCAGCTGGTGAAGAGTGAGTTGCTGCTGTTCCAAATGTCCGAGTCACTATAGTGATTTTGGAACTCGGTGACCTGTTGCACAAAGTCTCGAACACTCGATTCGTATTGCGGCACAATGTCAGAGTCTACTGTGGCCCCAGCTACCGCAAAGTCATAGGCTAGCACCAGCGAGTCGTTGTACGTGGTCACAAGATATCCGACCCAGTTGTATCCGTTGTCAGTGTCGACTCCCGGCAACGCTGGGTTGCCTATGGGGTTCGAAGCGTTGGGTTGTGCTCCAGAAACCTGAAAGTCGATAGACGTATAGCTGTCACCGCTGTATGCCAGAAGTTAGAATCTTTGGAACTGTAGGGACGTGGCGGAGGCTCACAATGTGAATAAGTTAGTGAAACCATTGATACCCACTGCCGCCGCAGCAAACCCGACAGCAAGGTGAGAGATTGCAAGATAAGCGAAAACCATTTTGATGCACGTCGAAAATAATGTCTAGAAACTAGAAGCAAAAAGAAAAAGAATTGCTGCAGCAACTGCTTTGCATGCGAAATTTAAACCAGAATAGCAGCAGTGCCTCCTTTGTCTCATTGGTGGGATTCCCCTCTGCTCGTCGACTATTTGTGCGAATGCGAAATGACCTCTAACCGACGCAGAAAACTTAACGTGCAACAGAGTTTTCAAGCATCAACAAAGTGCATCCGGTCTGTCTACCTCAAGTACTCTTACATTGCATTCTCGGGTTAAAATGGTACAGTGCCAGTCAACTCGGCCTTCAAGAGCGCGAAACTTCCTTTCGTGCGCATCATTTCTGTTGCACAGTTAAGGCTCAAATAGGTGTCTGATACAACCTCATTTTGGTGGGTCAAGGGATGGCACTGTTAGTACTTACATGCCAGCGGTTGAGATTCGTGCGTTTTTTTGCTAATTTTGCTGATTTTGCAGTGGCCGCAGTGGCATAAGGACAAAGTAGATTACCTTGCACCGTGGCCGTTTTCTCGCCCTAAGTGGGAAAACAAATGTTGCTTTTGCAAGTCATGGAAACATGAGACGGTTCACAATGCAAACTTTGCAGGTATTGTTGTCTCAACTGTTCAAGGGCAGCATAAGCGGGCTTTGATGCAATCGTGCAAAAGCTCTTCCAGTTCTGCTGAGTGCCACGAATCATACACCCGCCAACTAAGTTGTCAGTATGACCCATTGCTCGCGAGGCACATAAAACTTCATGCGAGAAGGTAGAAAATAGCAATTGTAAGGGTAAACTTGATTCAATTACGCTAGAGATGGAGACAAGGCTGTGACGCAGCCTCAGGTAGACACGCGCACAGACGACACAGCCTCGCGGATGCTTCCATTACAAGGGAGTCTTTCCTCGTGCCATTTACACATCGTGTCCTCTTCGAATGTGCATTGCAATGGCTTGCATACCTTTCTCCGACCACGCAATTTGCCCATTCGCGGCAAGAGAATAGTGGGAGACGACTGTCGCCGGCAGGTTGATTGTACGAGAGCCGCTCTGTACATGTTGGCTCGTCTCAATGTCTTGTCTCCCGTACAGTTCACTGTAATCACTTCGCACTTTTATCTTGAACAGCGGTCGGATACCAATTCTCTTTGGCGAATCGTTGGCATCACCACTACGCGACGCTGACTTTCTCATGATTTGTTTTGAGAGCCGGGCTAACAAAAGTCTTGAATAGAGGGGCCAAAGTAGGAATGCAAGCGACAATGAGGCCGAGCCATAGCTCAAACTGGCTCACGAGACCAATCCAGCCCAAGTATGTGGTGAAGTCGGGATTGGTTCGATATTGATGCGTCCAAACAACTCTCCAGATCATAACCGCAATGGTCCTGTGAAACAATGAATTAGCTACTGAAGTATCATTCAAGGCTATTGGAGAATGGAAAAGAACCCTACGCTAAACCGAAGCTGAACATGATTGTGACAACGACCTTCTTCCTCGGCGCCATGTTTAGGCTCCAAAGCGTCGGGAGAGGTAGAATGAAAACAGCGAGATCGAGCAACATATTGATAGCCAGCGTTGAGTAATCGCTGATCGTACCGTCGCGATAACTGCCACCAGGGTTAGGATTCCACATATAGTCGATAGGTTCACAATTGGTCATATAGACACAGAAGAAGCTGATGCAGTACGCGACGACGATCGCGGCAATGAGGTAAGACCAACGCCTGTCATTGTGAAGATCCGATTGTACAATGCAAGTATTGCTAGTTTGTTGAATACGCTGGCTAGAAGCCAACATACATAGGCCGTAAACAAGAGCTTGGTTTGGGTTAGCTGGATACTAGCTGACCGAATCAGAAGCATCACGCACCTTTGCCGCGGCACCAATCTCGTATTCCGTCAGAACTGCGGCCGACTTTCCGAGCCCATTGACACAAGACCAGATGGCGACCCCTCCAAGGGCTACCACATTTGCCTAAGCCAAATGGAATTGATAAGATCGCCTCAGAACTCACCTGTTCACAAGGCTTTAGAGTCGGGACGCACTTACATATGCGAAGACGATGAAGCCATCATCAATATAGAATTCGCGCCGAGACACTCGAATAGCTAAAATTCTCAGTAAGATGAAGATGCCGCAAACCACGTTGAAGAAAATAGTGAATATAAACAAGATCAGGCCGCTGGTGCTGAACTCCACCGCCATCTTGACTCATGTTAAGCGGATCTTGTGGAAAGGTTGGAATACTGATGCTTTGCCCGTGAAATCGAGATCTCGTGTCTTCAAATATGGGAAGTCCTTGGGGGGCAAGAAAAGATCATCAAAGAAGTTGAGTTCTTCAAAATTCATGTGCTGTAGAGAATGGAAATTCAAGGAAAATGTCAAGGCAAGGTCATATTGCTTTCTGCGGTTGGGTGCGCAGGTGACATTGATGGAACATAAGAAAAGTTACGCCATGGGAGGCACTCACACCTACGATTCTTCTCATCCAGGAGTCCGCAATAAGCTTGTCCATTCAAGGAAATAAGCAGGGCGAATCATTCGATCTGTGCAATAGAGACGTTCAGGAAAAAGAGCGCCCATCCGTGATAACAAAGAAGAAGAAGAAATGGTTTCGGCTTGTTACGTTGTCTACCTACCTAGTACGCTTGAGGCGCTCAAGGCCATCGTGATTGCGCGGCAGCACGGCGCCATAGGGTTAGGGGCTGACAGGGTTGTGTGACCAGGAAGGAGCTCTTTCCTTCTTTACACATGCTTAGTCCACGTGGGAGAGCCTCAAAAAAGGAGTATTGCACATATCCAACTTGGCGATGTCCTCCTCACCAAAAAGCAAAATGACAACCGTGTGATTCGAACACACGCCTCTTTCGAGACTACGATGCTTCAGTATTACCTGAACGTAGCGAGATATATTCTCGACCATCGCATGCGGCATTCACTACGGCAACGAACTAATCCTATCGTCAGGAGCCTTATCGTGAATTTGTATGTACACCTGCAAGTTCAGGTTCAAAGTCAAATGAGGCATTGATTCCGATCAAATACGGCTTCATCTTTTCAGCTGGGCAACCAACGGTACAGAATTGTTCGAATTTGACAAGCTTTCCTAGATTTGTATGCAACAAGGAGGACACGGCGACGTGTGACCCTGAACTGCCCGGGAGCAGGAAGATACGCGTGCCTTATCTCGGCTGGTGTCCTCACACACTAGCGGACCCTTGTCATGTAATCCACCCATATCAATTTAGACAAAAGTGACGTGAAGATCGAGCGAATGCAGGACGCTGGACCTTGAACTTTCGAGAAGGTATGCTTATTAGAGCCACAGGAGTCGGACCGATATTTTGACTCTGATATGGCAATGCGCACACGTATTAGATTCGTGATTTGGGTAGTACTAGGTAGGTAACACCAAGAGCGCAACAACACCCGGAACGATGGTTTGTTATGGCAGTCGATGTGTTTTTTTCTTGAACTTATATTGAAATTAAGCAAGGGAGACGTACATCGAGGCGAGTCCTAGTCGATGGTCACAGGAGAGCGAAAGTAGGTCAAGGCCCCCCATAGTAGAGGCCTGGCGCAGAAGCACATGACCCTATGCTAATGCTGAATAGAGAGTGTGGTTTGAATGAGGGCGGCTCGGGCTCTCGTCTGGGTGGTTGCCCGTATGTTGCGCACATGGCGCGCCGTGGCCAGCAAACAGGTGGGTTTGGCGAGCTCGAGAGTGATTTTCAGATTTGAAGACTCTCGACCTGCTTCATTATCACGGGGAGGCCTGGTCGTACTTGATGCTGCGGCGGCAACGCGAGGCGGTGATATGGTGGGGTTGAGAGACGACTTGGACGAATGTAATGAGACCCCTTAGGTCTATAGACTGAGGCAATGTACACATTCAAGAACTACGAACACCAGATACCAAGAGAGGCATCTGCTGGTTTTAGAGAGATTCGAAGCCTCAAGAAATTGCGCCAAATCGCTCAAGAGCTACTTCTGATTGGTTGGACTCACGGTGATGTGCGGCCAAATAGATTCTGAGTTTACCTACCTTACCCAAGCGCGTGGAACGCTACTTTTGTATAAGGTTGACCCGGTACATCCCGGCCCCGACATCGTGGAATATCTACAATGGGTTGCGATTAATGCTGTCGTAAATTGGTTAGCGAACCTGCAAAATCTACATAGTAAGCGAGAGATAATCAAGAACAGATTGCCCATTTCCCATATTAAACCGCACAGGATCCTGATATATGCACATGAAGTGATGAGATCCAAGTAGCTAAATCGCGAAAACGAGAAGAAAAGCCTGGGTGGGCCACTCCTGTCAGTCAGTCGTGTTCGATGTCGGTTTCTGGAAATGACCAAAAACACCACGTCGGCCATACGAAGGTCACAAAAATTTCCACAAAAATTTCCACAAAAAAATGACAACCGTGTGATTCGAACACACGCCCCTTTCGAGACTACGAAGATCTTGTGACCTGAACGTAGCGCCTTAACCGCTCGGCCAGGTTGCCTGAGTGAATGTGAATTAATCCCGAATGCTGTCTATTATGACTCAAGATTTAGTTGGTATTCTTGACGTCTCTTCTTCGCGAGGCGTCCCCGTGGGCGGATACATCGAATCCCCACCATGTGCACACAAATCAGTAGTGGAGAGTAAAGTATCAGGGAGAAAATCACTGAATGCCTAGACGTATACATGGCTGTTCGTCGCTTACAATCTTCTAATTTCCTTTGCAGTTGACCCGAACAATGTAGAATCGTACCTACGCTTTCGCCGTGAATTCTGGCTTAGCCCTAGTGTGGTGCGAGGGCCTAAGTCCCTCCTGTTTTGAAGACAAGAGAAGAGGCCATCCCGGACGGGAGCATTTTATTAAATAAACAGTCGGCGTGCCTCCGTCGCACCTGCCAACCACTACACTAGGTACAGTTTGTTTTTGCCACAACGATGTCAGGCTAAGAAATTGTAGCTGTCTTTGTCGCAAATGGGTAATAAATGTGTATCCTTTGGAGTATAGAGCAGGTGGCAATAAATTCTTTCTTAGCTACCAATGGCACAGACACTCAACCGAAACCTTACCCATCGGCCAGGCGCTGCTAGGCGTCTGCATCGAAGATCGAAATGTTCGGCACATCCCGTGGGGGCCAAGGGCACGTACATACTGGACAACGACCCATTTGTCCCATTTCAAGACGCAGGTCTCTCAGCACAGATGGCAATTCCGCCGGTCGCACGACGCGTCTCACCTAGTTTAGGATTATGCAAGCAATCTGTTCCGTTGGCCTTGCGTGATACACGTGAAGGGAAGGGGCCCACTTGCATATCAATTCTAAAATAGGTACTACTGATGCTCACTACAAATCACAGGGTGGCTTGGTCAATCTATCACTCGAATATCAAATATCTGCACCACTCCATGCCTGACCATCGGAGAACAGTGTTGCGCAAGCGCCAACGCCGATCCGATGAACAAGAGAGACGACCACACGAAATCAAGGCCCACGGCGGGTGACCAGATAAACCAGCCAGCCAGCCGTGGCAGGACACTACACATCCCGTCATCACAGGTGGTAGGTCCCGGCGCCACGGAGGGCGCACCATTCGGCAATGGTCCATCTTCTCATTCCCTTTCAAAGTTTCTTCCCTCAAAACAGCGAAAAGGTGCTCTTAGCAGTAGGAACCGCGCAAAGACTTTCAGTGGTGATCGCCAGGAAGCTATGACAGGCATAGGTGCAGGTCGAAGCTCAGACCAAGCTCAGCATATTCCCTCCCACCACTGGCCTTGAGCCTTCTGTGCGCTATGCCAGAAGGTCGAAGGACTTGTTGCCATCCTTCATCGTTGAAGCACGGGCGGATCGTCACGCTCAAAGGACCAGTACTGGAGCCAGTGCTCCTTGTGAGCCCGCTTTTCAAGCCGGGAGTACATGGTGGCTTGAGGCAACTTTGGCAGGGACGTATCCACGGGGTCGTGGCGCCTTCTCGAGTTCTTGTTCTTACTCTTCTTGTCCCTGGCCGTCAGCAGGCATTTCTTACAGCCCATAAAACGACAAATGTATTCCCCGGTGCGTAGCAGATAGCGTGGCCAACTGTCCACCCTAATGCTTCCGCAGTCGTAGCAATACACGTCTACACCTTGTCCCTTGTCAAACACATCCTTGAAGAGACATGCCCATTTGCCGACTTGACGGGACCCGATGATGTTTTGGCGATAGTCGTCCGCAGTAATCTTAGCCCTATTGTTGGCCAGCACCCCGAGTGCATAAGCTCGAGCTTCGGGATCAGGAGACTTGCACAGCTTCGCCATGCCGAAACCAGCCATTTGGGAATATGACTGATAGAGCGGCAATGCGATGTTCACGCCCAGGCTTGCGTACTCCCGAGGTGCATCCTCAGGAAGCCAGTGGTCGAGATCGTCGCTTTGGAGGGTCTGCATTATTAGCGCAAAATACATTTCCCCCAGAGACAGAAACAAGGTATCATCACTTATCTCATTTCCATCATCGTCGTAGACAGCGACCTTGGCCTCAGTCGTGTCTTCGTCGTCGTCCAGACCCTCTTCCAAGGTCCCAATATGAAAAATCTTAGCGTCACGCATCCACGAATCATCCCCGTAGACGTCGCTCGGCACATCTCGACCGCCTCTCTAAGTACGATACAAGAACGAATTCTCATCTTGCCTCCGGACGTTTCGTTTGTGGTCACCAGCACGACCGCGGACACCTCTCTGATCCTTAGTCTGGCCCACATACAATTTCCACCACTCCCACTCGCCGAATTCCCGATTGAACAGGAAGATGAAGTACCAGCCTTTGTGGGAGCAGCTGGTGTAATTCTCTTCGAGGCCATGGATGAACTCCGGGTCGCCCCACTTGGTGCCGACAACGAAGTTCGACCAGACAGATTCTCGCGTCCCCCTGTGGAGTCGCTTGAACAATTTGTCTTTGCCATGGCGACGAAGGAATACTTGGTACGGGTACGAGATTCGATTCCCGTTCTTGCGGCTGTGAACACGCAGGTCGGCAGCCGCTGTGCACATGTCGTCCCAGACACGCTCGTGGTAGGGCTTGGTCGGATCGCTCCGTCGGTCCCCTCTCTCTGTCTCTCCGTCGGACTCGGGCACTTGGATTTCGAGCCCTTCTGCAAGATCTTGAACGATGCCTTCGAGCACCTCTAGGACGTGTTCCTCGTCGTCTCGCAGGTCCTTCGGGAGGCATTGCAGGATGCTGTCGAACCTCTGGTGCATATCCGTCAGCAAGGTGTCACAAATTGACTCATCAGCTCCAGAAGAGCCCGCCAAGATAGTTGTGATATATTTGGGGAGCTTGGAGATCATCTTATCCTTAAAGCTGGCCTCGACCTTAGCAGCCTCGGCAGCAACGCTCCCCTGATCCTCCGCGTCGACCATGACGAAGTCCTCATGGTCAGGTCGAGGCACGGAGGGTTTGTTGAAATAAAACTCCAACGTCTTCATGATTCAAACTCGATTGTACAAGGGGAAATGGTATTATGAAAACGGTTCCTCGGTGCGACAGTTCGAAATGCGTTGGTTGCTTGAAGAGAAGAAGAGAAGGGGAGCTGCCAATGTCTGCAGGAGGGGGGTTTTGTATTTAACGCTGGAGTGGACAGGGGTCCACGCGGTACTTGCGCGAGGGGACAATGTGGGAAGGCACGAGGAAGTCGCGTTCACCGTGGACATGCCTGCAGCTAATTGAAGCGAGTACATTACCTTGGGCACTTCTCCTACAGTCTCTGTATTGTTTTTATATTCTTTACTATATACTCTGCTCCTCAATTACCGGGAAATAAACTTTTAAATGTTATTTTGCATCTTGTTTTCTTTACACGGTCGAATTTCGTGCTCTGATCTTCGGGAAGGAAGGAGCAAGGTCAGTCAGGGGTGGGAAGAGATGACGACAGTGGTCCAGCACCTTACCTAGTGATACCCTCAGCAACGCACACTGTGTCTGTGATCTGAAGAGAAGGTGAAAAAGAACGTCACAATTGACAAGGAGAATTTAAATTCAGTAGCGAAGGTCTGAGAAGTAGCTTATATTCGTCCGGGCCGAGGATAACTGGCCCTGTGGCCCAGTCGTACCTCCAGCTACCACACTAGGTACCTTCTAGCCGGGCCACCAGGAGATCTATCCTCTCTGGCCACTATCTTCTGAATGAATTGCAATAGTGCTTATTTTTGTCTCATAGCAATTCTGTTTTGATGTAACGGGAGAAACTGTAAGTGCATAGGGGGTTTACATCCGTACAATAGGGCTGCAAGTGCTGTGCCATGGAGTCGGATACAACGGACCAAGTGCTTCAGCCGAGGACAGCGAGCTTGCAAGTCATGAGTACCAGAATATTCTAAAAACTTGCAAGCCTCATATGGATCAAAAATGTAGTGGTAAGTGAGTTCATTGAACTAGGCTGGAAGGTGAGGCAAGGCTGAGATTCAGCCTCAAGTGAGTGTGCGCACAGACCATCTGGGCAATCCGAACCCTGTACCCCGTGCATCCTACCACAGATACGTTTGGAGTAAGAAGCTACTTCAAAGGTATGTTAATCACCTGGGAGATAGTCGAGACCCAAGCAAGACGAATATTCAGAACCGGCTGAAATACCACAGAATAGAGCCTTCAGCCAGCCTATAGTTCTTGAATATTCGTTGTCTATGTCCTGAAAAACCTATCATTCATGTGAACCCAAGCATCTCGTCCGGAAAACGGAATTTCGCACGCATACCTACCTAGGTCCCATAACCCATGGACACACAAGTAGAATTGAATTTTAATTATCTGTACAGTGTACAAGTGCTTGGCTAACAGATCGATTACATAATGGGGTACCTTGGGGGGGTACCGTTCCTAGGTAATTGATCCGCAGACGCGTTTCTGCTTCGCGAGTTTCCTTTTCTTTTCTGCTCGGTCAACCAGTAAGTTTTGCCTGCCCTCCCACCATTCCTATTCCCAGACCTACAGACTTCGATGTTGTTGCAGTGCAAGCTATCACCACTATTTGGATGCCAAATATGGACAAGATGCATCCAATGCGTCGGCCCTCAGTGAACACGCCAGACGCGCACAATCTTGAGAATACTACACACAGCCCACCCTTCATAGACAGTTCAGCACATAGTGTAGGTTTTATTAGAGCGTCATACTAATGTATATTGAGTATAGACATCGATTTATCACAATTTCTGTCTTGTAAGTCTATTGCTGCACATGTCCCTTGTATATTCTCGTGTCTGATCAAAACTTTGTAGTACAATTTCCAATACCAACTCCCGCCAACTCGTAAGTACTTCATGCTGCCCCCTCCCCGCCCCCCACGCCGAAGAAAAAAAAGAGTAGCGAAGTGACTGACTAGTTGTTGGTAATTAGAAAAAAACCAGTCACAATGGCCCCCAAGAAGAAGGCCCCCCCGCCCGCCCACAGGCAGATCGGTTCGTGAACATGCACGGGACACTACTTGTATCATCGGCTGATAAGTGTCAAATTTATAGTGCGCACCTACCAT